GTTAGAAATCGAGGTGGATTGGAGGCCATACTATGAGGAAACCATCAAGTGACATCATTAGACAAGCCATTGCTCGAGTGGAACCCAAAAGGGAAGTGGCGAGTTGGTCGTCAGTGCAAGGGTGACTTGGAGGAGGTCATGTGAAGAGGAGATGAAAACTTGTGGGCAGACTTGGAGCTAGGTAAAGACTCTAGGAGAGGACCGAACGCAATGGAGACGTGCGTGGCTGAAGCCCTATGTTCCTCTAGGAATTAAAGGGAACAATAATAATAATATAATAAAAGAATTTGACAGCGAAACATAAATAAACTGTAATTTAACTTTGAGCACTTCAAAACTTTATGGGCTCACTTCAGCCACTAGTTAGTCAGAATACCCCTTGTCAATGGTTATGAACAATGAATGTTTGTTCATTGACCGGCAACTCTAAACAATAGGAACCCAAATCGAAACGACCTACGAACGCACAAACGACCTTGAGAAACCAGTCAGGTGACCCTGTTGTTTCTAGAAGTAATTATGGATGCTCTACACCTCTACTGCGATTCCTAATCGCATTGCTGGTGTATTATTGCCTATTATCCAGCGCTTAGTGCTGCCCGGGACCACTATTCACACAGACGAATGGAGTAGTTATGGTCAATTGTCGAATCTCGGGTATATTCATCATGTAGTCAATCACACAGACGGTTTTCGCAATGCTTTGGATGGAACTCATACTAATTGCATCGAAAGTTTCTGGAGTCACCTGAAAATAAAGGATTAGATTCGTGAACGGACCAAGAAATCCAATGATATACAGTTATCTGGATGAGTTTATGTACAGAAGTTGGTTTAACATGAGTATAAAGACTCCTATGAGAAACTGGGAGCTTTTTTGCAACATATACAAGAACTTTATCCTTTGTAACTATTTTTTAACATTGCTTTACTTCTATATAAACGATTTTTTACAATTATGCGCTGTTTTTTTTGAGCCTTCTGATTGGTCGAAGTTGTCCTTAACAAGGTCGTTTGTGCGTTCGTAGGTCGTTTCGGTTTGGGTTCCTATTGTTTAGAGTTGCCCATTGACCTTAGTGGCCATTGGCGGGCAACTCGAAGGCGCGAATGATTGAATCGTGTACAGCTTAGAAGAAGACGAAAGAATACGAATAATAAAAGTACAATACATTCCTTGTCAAAACATTTGTTTATAAACTTAGTACAGAGTATTGATTTTAACTATCGAAGAATACAAAATTTCTTGTCATCCATTCATTGTGTTTCGGAATTAAAGTCGATATTCGAGTACTTAGTCGTTGTCGATTCGGAGCGTCTTCATAAAAATAATAGGAACTTAGGATTAAGTTCCTCGACACCCCTTACGAAGGGTTTGAAAGAAAATTTAAAATAAGATGGGATAATCATTTTTCAAATTTCCCACTAACCGACTGGATCGAAATCCTCGGTTTCTATTGGTTGACATATCAGCTAATTGAGATGAAGGCATCAATAAGCAACTGACTATTCCGAAGTATAACGGGAACACACACTTCTTGGATTCGTTCCCCCTGTTAATCCCTATCAACAAGACATAAACGAGACAATCATAAGCTACAGTTCACAGATAAAGATAGAGATGCTCAGGGTGCTGCGGGATGCCTAGAAATAGGACGATACAACTGTTCAGTTATCCCTGTTTGTTCAATATTTTGGTCTATTTACCATTTGAACCTGTTACCTTTAGCCAAACTTACACGTTGGACTGCTTTCAGTCTATCTAGCTGTTATCAAAGCATTCATTGTACAGTTGCTGTGGTAAGGACTGTAGTACCACTCTTTTTTTTCTAGCCAGTATAACAAGACAGGTGTTTGTAACTCTGAGAACAGTGTAGAGATCTACAGACCGAATTTTTAATGCCGACGTCAAGTCATTGCTTTTATATGCTTCAGAGACTTGGCGCATACGCCAACAGAAGCATTTCCTAAATCCGTAAAACCTACTGGGGCACGGTTACATCAAGATTATATGGACTACCATAAGTGCATAAAATTGGTTTACCACTTCAACCAGTTTGTTGGACATGTGTAATTCCCCATATCACGCCACAGCAAAATGGTTAGTGAAGCTCCTGATACCTCTGCATAATGAATTGGTAAAACAAAGTGTAAACGGTAGTTTTGAATTTGCTGGAAAAATAAAACATCCAAAAGTGTGAGGGACAAGTTTATGATATCTTTTGATGTATCCTCCTTGTTCACCAACATAACGTTAATGGAGACAGTGGATTTAATATGTGATGAGATTACTACGCGAAACATAGACATCGGCATTTCTGTATCCTCCTTGGAGGAGCTTATTTTAAGATATAAAATGAACGTTCATTTCTTATTCAATAAGGAATATTACAGACATACTGTGGTGTAGCTATGGGTTTCCAATTAGGTCCAATCCTAGCTGATTTTTTCCGCACTAAGTTAGAGAATGAACCAATGAAAGCAGTAATTAATGACTTGGATTTCTACTGTCGATATATGGATGATACATTTCTGGTCATGAGAAACGAGAATGATGCAATGAACATCCTTAACAAGTTTAATGATGCACATTCAGCAATAAACTTTACCATAGAGAAAGAAAGTAATGACAGTATCTCATTCCTAGACATCTTCATAGCAAGGAAAGAAGATGGCACACTAAGAAGGAGTGTGTACAGGAAACCTACAACAACAGGTCAGTACATTCATTTTTTGAGTTATGTACCTTTGAAATATAAACGTAACCTGGTAAAGTGTCTGGTTCATAGAGCTAAGTTAATCTGTTCAGACGACTACCTCAATGAGGAGCTTAAGATTATTAGAGAATTACTTAGAAAACATGGTTATCCGGATAAATTCATTGAGAAAAATATGAATTCAGCACCAAGGAAAGTCAGTATGGCTACAGTTCTGAAAAAACTACTGTTCATAAAACTGCAAGTCCTCGGTGACAACATCAGCGAGATTATAACACAGCGCTTGAAGAATGCAGTTAAAAGAGCTTATTATGCAGCAGAGGTACGTTATCTCTTCACAACCACCCCTATTTTACGTTGGAGAAATAAGGATAAACTACCTAATTTTGCCCCTTCTATGTGTATCTACCAGTATTACTGCAGCTTCGGAGCCACCTACATCGGCTTACAATTAGGCAGGTTCATTACCGTATTTCCAAACATCATCCAACATGGTTAAGCAAGGTAAAAACAAGATCCATTCGTAGTTCTATTGTAGCACACCTTGTAGATAGTGAGCATAAGGTTGATGTTAATACAGCATTTAAAATTATCTATCGCATTTCTACTAATCTTAATTTTGCTCTACGAGTTCGTCTTCTACAGACAGCTGAAGCAATAGGAATCCACCTGAAGAAGCCAAACCTGTGTGTTCAGAAGAAATTTGTACAGCCACTTTCCTTACCGTGGCCATCGTTATATGATTGTATAAACCGAACTACTTTGCCCCCCTTCCCGTAAACCTTTAAAAATTATAATTGTCCAAATTATTTCATTATTTCTGACTACTTCACCTTTAATTCCGTGTTATCCTTGAAAAATTATTTTATTCTTATGACCACTTCAGCCCTAGTTACAAACTATCATTGCCCAAATCGTCTTATTTTCTTTAACAGTCTGTTACGTAATCAACCTGCGCACACGCTTATTCCTTAATTATACTTCTTTATTCCAAAATTATGCATTATGCAATCCACTTGTTGTAACCACTTCTACCTTTTAATTGTGTTACCACCCCATTGACATTTTGACACTGACTGACTAATTATTGTTAACAAACATATCAGTGCCAATTGATTGGTAAAGTGTTATGTTTAATGTGATGACGAATTGTTTTTGGACCCATAAAGGTGGCTTAAACTTTCTAATTGCTAGGGCTTCCACAAACTTTAGGACACGCCCCAAACACGTTTTATAGATAGGTTTAAAAGATGTGTTAACGTCAATTTTATGTCCTGTCTCTATAATATGTTTCACAATAGAAGAGCTAGGTCTCCTGTTCTCACCGTTAATAGGTTCTGAAAATTCCATTTGTTTCTGGAGCCATTCAGGAATATGTTCTGAAGCCCTTACTTGCAGAGATCGATGAGTCCTCCCTATGTATGTGTCCACACGTACATTCAAATTGGTAAATACAGTGGGATGTGACGTCATTTTTCGCATGTTCGAAGGACATAAAATTGACGTTAAATCTATCTATAAAACGTGTTTGGGGCGTATCCTAAAGTTTGTGAAAGCCCTAGCAATTAGAAAGTTTAAGCCACCTTTATGCGTTCAAAGCAACAATTCGTCATCACATTAAACCTTCCTTGGTAAATTTTGTTTTGATACCATAGGAGATGTACAATTACCTCTGTTATTTGGTTTAGTGGTCTTCATTGAAACTGTTATTTATTGTAATAAAAATGCTCTCTGTGTACATTAGAGTAGAGCCAGAGTGAGATGAGGATCTAATTGAAAAGTAAATATTTCTTCGCTGCTCAATCTTTCTGTATTCTAAATGTCTGAATGGGGATTTTTTTTCCATATAGAAGCATTTCCAACATAGTCTGCTGCAGAGTTTCATCAACACCCTCTCTTCGGTGCCTGCTGAAGACCAGGTGGCCAAACACATAAAGTATAATCAATAAGGCACTTTGGCAGACATGGAAATCGGCCAACAAACAAATATGCTTATGGAAATCTAGATGAATTAGATGCTACTAACTGAGGTGATCACTGAGCGCCATCACACGCTAAGGAAGCACACCAGTGGAGCCCCAGTCGGCAGCGACGAGTTGGGTGTCCTAGAGTAATGTGGATAGGATATCGTCTGAAAAGCAAATGAAAACTCCTGCGCCGGAACCTGATAAAATGGATGTGTATGGTTAAATAAAGCCTTGTGTTTCACTCACAACACACAATGGATGAACAATAACAATCGTAATAGCTCATTGAGTCATTGTGACATGCAAACCGACTACTCACCTTCATGTATTTTGAAAATTGATCGATTGACGAAGGCAATGTCATCAGAGAAGATGTAGAGAATAATACTTCAAATGATGAACGTGATAGTTCAACACGGTGTTCACAAGACTCCTCATTCTTCAAGCGTATCAGGCTTGATTCTGGAGAAACTATCAGATGAATAAAGAAGAGAAGGCGACGAAATAAAATATGGTACCATTTCATTCTGCTAAATCTGTAGTTGTTGCTTTGTTCGAATAAAGAATGATTAAAGGCAGTAAGAGCAGTTATAAATACACAGAAAACGAAAAAAGGTGATTTGAGGTTAAAGAAAACCAAAAAAAGGGCCATTGAATCCTAGTGAGTCCAAATGGTTCAATAGTGAGCGAGCTTGCTGTCGTAAGCTGGGTTCTCGATCCCAGGTAGGGGGTTATGTGGGTACAGCGCTAAAGACTCTCAAGCCAATAGGAACTAGCTGTCCAGTGCTCCCTAGTTATCACTGACCTCTCTAACTGATGGAACCGATCATGGCGCACTTTCTATTACTACGCTATATTTGCCCAGTTACATAAAACTCTTATTTTTCAAGTAATCGTTTTGTAGGGATTTTGTTTGATTGGATGAAGGATTTCATCATGAGCTGACATCAGTTAGAGAACCACTGGAAAACCTGTCTGGGAGTACTGGACAGCTGTTTCGTCCGACTAGTTTGGGACTCTCCAGCAGTACGCACCCACCCTGCTGGGATTCGAACCCAGGACCTTCTGGTTACAAGGCGAGCTAGCTCGTAGACAATTGAGCCACTGGGACCCGATCCAATGGCCAGCCCATGAGTTCTAACTTCTGCCAATTCACGACATAGCGCTACCATTTCGCAATGTCTTCTTCGATGAGTTACTGCCTCATCTTCCACCTGCTGTACCCTACTGGCCACGGTTTCCCACTTTCTAGCGCTTCTTACCAAGAAGTTGTGGACTTTATTGCATTTTATTTGACTTTCGAACACTGAATTCGTGGATATAATCTTGTTGACCGATAATATCTATAACTATCTGTTTGGCATATTGTGACTGTTTGACACTATCTAATATCTATAATTGTATATGTAGTTGAACTTACTCAATTTGACCCAAGTCAGTGGGCTGATTGGCTTTTATCATTTTAGTTAACTATTTTTTTGACAGTGATACTACTGCTACGGTTTTTTATTGTTGTTATCGCTGCCCTTCCTGTTGTGAATTTTTTTCCTTTTGGTGGTGTTATCGTGATTGCTTTATTCCTTGTTTTCCTGATGTTAAGAGGAGCAACCCACAAAGTCGCTCCTCTGTAAACTATACATTAATGTAACAACCTCCTTCTCAGGCGAGAGGCTAGCAAACCTACTCTGTAAACAAAATTGCTATAGAAACTTCAGCACGATGAGTCTCCTTGCGACAAAAGAAAAGGTCTGTGTGGAGACATGGAACGTCAGCACCATGTAGGAGACTGGAAAAGCTGCCAAGATTGCGAACGAGATGAAAAGATACGGAACTCAAGTATTGGGAATATGTGAAAGCAGATGGAATGGGAGTGAACTCACCAAATTGTCAACGGGAGAGTCATAAGATCTACTCCGGTCACCCAGAAGACAACCACATGCACACCGAGGGTGTGGCTATTATGATGTCACCAACAACAAAGAAGGCCCTGATGCAATAGGAGGCGATCTCGCCCAGGATAATGACCGCCAGATTCAACTCCAAAGGAAGGAAAGTGTCAGTTATACAATGCTATGCACCGACAAACAACACGGACCTCGAAAAGAAAGAAGAATTCTACAGACAACTACAGGCAACAATGGTCAATACTCCAGTCGGTGACATTAAAATACTAATAGGAGAAATGAATGCCAAACTGGGATCAGACAACACAGGAAGAGAACTCATCATGGGTAGAGGAGCTCTCGGAGAAATGAATGAAAATGGAGAAGTCTTCGCCGACTTCTGCGCCTTCAATGAACTTGTGATTGGTAGTAACCTATACAAACACAAGGATATCTACAAGGCTACATGGATTTCACCAGACGCGCGAACCAAAATTCAAATTGACTTCATTTCAATGCTGCTCAAAGAAGTGAAGAGGCAACTTACTGGACACAAAAGTAAGAAGAGGAGCAGATGCAGTCTCAGACCACTATCTAGTAAAACGAACACTCCAAATCAAATTAAAAGCTTTTAAAGAAACAGGAGCTGAAGACAGACCACAAGCCAAGTTCGAATCTCAAAAACTGAAGGATCAGACCACATAAGAAACCTTCACTGCAAGCATAAGGAAAAACGCGGATATACAACTCAACACCAGAGAAGTAAACAGCGTTGAAAAACACTGGAACAGCCGGAAAGCGGTGTGGAGTCAAACCTGCATGGAAGTTCTAGGCAGAAAGAAGGGACAGGACAAACAGTGGCTCACTTGGAGACTGATAGAAGAGAGAGGGATGGTGAAACAAAAGATTATCCAGTGTACCAATGAGCCACAAAAATAGGATTTGAATGCAAGCTACGAGACACTGAACAAAAGAGTAAAGAAGAGTGCCAGAGAAGACAAAAGAAAGTACTATGAAACCATGGCAAGTGAGGCAGAACAAGCTGCAGGCAAAGGATACCTCGCAACACCCTACCAAACTACTAGATTCGATTCGGGGAAGAGTTCAACACAAATTAAGGCAGTGAAGGATGACAATGGAAAGCCAATCACAAAAGAGGTGGAGCAAAGGAAACACTGGACTGAACATTTCAAAAGACTTCTAAATCGACCGACACCTACAACGCGCCCAACAATACCAACTTCGGAAGCGGAACTACCAGTGGTCATCAACCCTCCGACGAGAACAGAAGTCCTGAAGGCAATCAAGATGCTAAAACCTGGAAAAGCAGCAGGACCAGATGGAATCCCAGCAGAAGCATTGAAAATGGACCCAGAGACAACAGCGGACTTGATGACGCCACTACTGGAGGTGTGAAAAGAAGGCAAAGTACCCGAGGATTGGAAGAAAGGATACTTATTCAAACTACCAAAGGAGACTTAAGTCAATGCAAGAACTGGCGCGGAATTAAGCTCCTGTCCATCTCAAACTAAATACTAAGCCGCATCATCCTGGAGAAAAACAAACAAGCCATCCTGGATGTAAAACGTCGACCGGAATAGGCTGGATTCACGAGAAACAAGTCATGCATCGATGAAATCGCAACATTATGGATCATTATTGAACAGACCTTGGAATGGCAGTCAGCTCTCCACCTCGCTCAACTTCATCGATTTTGAAAAGGCCTTCGATAGCGCAGCGTCGATCGAGAGGTGATTTGGAAACTACTTCGCTACTACCAAGGGGTGACACCGACGATTATACATCTCATCCAACAGTTGTACGACAACACTGCATGCCAAGTAATCCACAACGGGGATTTAACGGAATCCTTCGAAGTGAAGACGGGAGTAAGACATGGCTGGTTGGCTGGCGGACTACTATCTCCAATGATTTTCCTGATTTCGGTAGACTGGATAATGCGACAGAAAGACAGCGGGCAGGGCAACGAGGAGACAAGTATATAGTGGACCCACACAAAAAACTTCGAGGATCTGGATTTCGCGAATGATGTATGTCTGATTTCCCACAAACTGGAAGACATGTAAGCAAAAAGCAACAAGTTGGCAAAAGAAGCATCAAGGAAAGGACATCACTTCAGGTGAAAATACAGAAGACAGAGGTGATGAAGATTCCTGGCCAACAACAACAACAGACAACTATCAGCGTAAATGGAAGGAACCTGAAAGAAACAACCTCCTTTACCTACCTACATGGGAAGCATCGTTTCAACTACAGGCGGACAGAACTGACGAGGATATCAAAGCAAGAATCGGAAAAGCAAGACAAGCCTTCATTACTCTCAAGTCTGTGTGGAGGTCAACAGCATTTAGTGTCAAAAATAAGATCCGGATTTTCAACTCCAATGTGAAGTCAGTGCTACTTACTATACGGATCAGAGAGTTGGCACTGCGTCACGAAGGGCATTTTGAACAAACTACAGACTTTCATCAACAGTTATCTTCGCTCAATACTACTCAAGATCAGATGGCCGGTCAGAAAAGATCAGCAACAAGTAGGGATCTCTGGCAATAAACAAACCAACCGAGCAGGAACCGATTGTGCAACAAATATGCAGGAAGAAATGGAGGTAGGTGGATCGAATGCCATACTCTGAGAAAACAAACGGTGAAGTGAGTGACATCACCCGCCAGGCCATTGCTTGAGTGGAACCCGAATGGAAAGTGGCGAGTTGGTCGTCAGTGAGAGGGTGACATGGAGTGGAGGAGGTTATGTGAAGAGAAGATGAAAGTATGTGGGCAGACGTGAAGTCAGGTGAAGATGTTGTTAGGGAACCGGACGCAATGGAGGGAGACGTGCGACTGAAGCCCTATGTTCCTCTAGGAACTAAAGGAAATAATAATAATTAATAATCTCTAACTGATGTTGGTTCTTGTCAAACATCTAACAATTAAAATTAGTCGACAATCTCCACAAACCTCAATAATATGAATAACAATCACCAGCTCAATGGTGCCTACAGGGTGCATTTCCTAAAGCTGCAACAGTGAAAAGTCGTGTCATCATGAGTGGACAAAATTGAAGCTCAGATTTCATTAGATTCTACACCCAAGTGCCTGAATGATCAACCAGCTTAGTCTGGCAATCTGAGAGTCTTAGAGGTTTAGATCTGCAGTGGGGTCGTAAGTGTGCACTGCTAAAGTGTCCCGCCCCCCAAAAAAGAGGAAACAAATGCCAAATTGATCAGAAAAGACAACTAACCTGTCGATAGACCAGTTTCACCTTCATCAGCATGTTTTTCCACATTCATATTCGATTTCGGCATATACTGATATGTAATCCATAGAGAATGACTTGCATGCATTAATGCGTCTAACGGATTCCAGTTGACATGAAGCAAAAGTACATCGATCTATAGATTGATTAATAAAACAGAATGAAAATAAATAGGTAATTACTATAAAGAAAGCAATAATAATGATAACTAAGACAAAAATTATTTATGAGATAGGAAGTTGCACTACTTACAAATCTATATAAGTAGTAGGTTTATGGAGAAGTAATGATGGTAGGACAATCCGAGACATTCATAGGTTCACAGACTGTTTGTTACTGATAGTATGGGTTGTAATTCAAGGTGAAATGAGGAGGATTCCTTACGATGAGCTTCTAAATTAGTCCAGTCTAATCCCTACTACACAGCTGAGCAGTGAGAACCAAATGCTTTCTAAGCAGGTAACATCATCATCACCGGAATCACCACGAGCCGAACCGCTTGTTTTTATCAGCATAAAACTAGCAGTCCAGCAAGATATCTTGTCTAATTCTGCACATACTAATTTACAAGGAAAAGGAGCTGGGTTACAAAGTGAACATAAACATTATTTTTAAGTGATAGTTTTGGGGGATTCAGTTGGATTCAAAAGTGAGAAAAATTGAAAATCACAAGCGAGTTACTGGGCAGCTGTTCATTCCTAGTTCGAGAGCTGAATCTTCAGTCAGTATGCAGCCATGACCCCACTCTTTAAGGATCTAACCCAGCACCTTCAGATTTCGAGGCGAAGTCGTCGACGATTCCGTCACTGGGACAGAATTCAAAGACTGGTGTCTATGGATTGTAACTTCTGGTTGGAGGATATCATCATGAGCTAACATCAGTTAGAGAACTATTGGAAAACTCGCAGGAAGTACTGGAGAGCCAGCTGTTTCGTCCGCCTAGTTTGGGACTCTTCATCAGTACGCACCCGCCGGGGTTCGAGCCCAGGACCTTCTAGTTAGAAGGCAGGCTAGCTCGTAGAACATTCAGCCACTGGGACTCGGCTTAATGGCCCATGAATTCTAACTTCTGCCATTGCGAAGTGAGTTGTTGGAAGTTGGAATTTATCGGCCATTGGACAGGGTCTCAGTGGCTTAATGTTCTACGAGCTAGCTCGCCTTGTAACCAGAAGGTCCTGGGTTCTAACCCTTCCGATGAGTGCGTTATGCTGAAGAGTCCCAAACTTGGACGAAACATATGTCCTGTTAGGCTTTCCAATGGTTCACTAAGCGATGTAAGCTCATGATGAAATCCTCCAACCAATCAAACAAAATCCCGACAAAACCAATACTTAAAAATTCTAACTTTTGTCAACTCGCGTTTTTTTTCGAGCCATCATCAGCCAAAGTCGTCGACAAGTATTTGTCCCGACCTGGTGGACCCCGCTGGTCACGCTACTACTACTACTAGTACTACTGTGAGGTATAATCGATCTTCAACAACCATGTTGGAAAGAAAAAAAACAGTTAATACAACGGTATGTATGTCAACCGGACTGAGACTATTTTCACATAGAATAATATTTACACGAAAATTCTTGAAACAAGACAGAGTCCAAAATTTAGGATGGAATCAAAGTTTAACTATAGAAAGAGTAGAACACTAATTTAGGTTACTTAACTACAAAATACATTTAAAAATAATAAGAAAAGTGTCAACTGACTGACTTTCAGATTAGAAAAAAAGGTAATTTTCTACACAGAACGGAAAAAATATGGTGTGGTATGTGCTACTGATTAGATTTGTGAGTAGTATGTAGATGCATACATAAATATGTATTATCATGTACATAAATATGGAATCACGGAGAGATGGATTCAATGAACAATGCTTGATAAATTCCATTATGCGTAAATTTTGTTTTGATAGTCTCACAGTGTTATACAGTAATGTTTACTGATGACGTTTCGAGCACAATTTATTGCTCATAATCATTTCAAGGTATGATATGGAATCCCATATTAGTTTCTTTATTAGATGCATTACACGACATGCATGTCAATCATGCGCAAGACAATACCAACAATAAGGAATCTAAATCATCACCGTAGTAATTCCATACAAGGAAGGAACCTCGGAAACCACCTTACGGCGGAGAATTCTTAACAAGGCAGGAATTAAAGTGGCTGGCATTCAAACCACCCACAAACTCAATTAGAAACAGCTTTTGTCGGTTAAAGGATACTGCCGGTGGAGCCAACAAAACGAAACAATTCAGTTTACCTAATACCCTGCTGCTGGAATGATTGACAGATCAGATACATAGGGCGAAATAGTAGGACAAGGTCAGCCAGATTAACTGGACATAAAAACCTAGCAAAATCTAGATTGGTTGAGCCGAATAAGATACGAAATCTAGAGAATAGTTCAGCTATAGCAATCACTACATGCAATTACACACAACCACACAATAGGCTGGATGGGATAGGATGACAATTTTAAAATATAATGTAACAGCAGGGTGGAGGGAGAGATTGGTAACAGAAGCTTTGTTTATCGAATCAACTGAGAGTGAATACGTGTAATAGGAATGATTCAACATCTGTCCACCCAGATATCTGGAAAATTCTACTACCCCAACGACGACAAATAGGAGAAGACAAAGAAAACTATAAAACTCAAGTTTCGAAGTCGTGTGATTACAATTGACGAAATGATTATGAACAGCAAAAAATTTTATTCGAAACGTCATCCAGTAAATAATACTGTTTCACTACGTGTGATACATCTAATAAACAAACTAATATGGAATCTTCAAATTGTCCCCAAAACACTCCAGTATCCAAACAAGAGATGTGATATACAAACGCGCAGATTAGTTCCCTGTGATCCCTTCAGTCTAAAACTTAACAACACTTAAGAATTTTCTTTGTTTGTTCGATTTTCCTGCTGATTGATTGGACGGAAAGGTTATGTCTGTGTTGACATGTCGACTACTTGTATGAACGCTCCAGCAATGTCTAAGGATTAGCTTGAAGTGAATTGGTGAATAGTGAATAACAGTAGAATCCAGGATGGACATTTCGTCCTATTTGGGAATCTCGACAACTGGATACACGTTGTAAATAATAACTGATGCTTTTTACACAAGAAAGATGTGGCTCTCGCGGCCCAAATGGTATACTAGTGGATAACGCTTTGACGTTAGAAAGGACGCGTGCTGTGGTTTGAGCCCCAATGGGAACATCACCATCACTCACTCAATACGGTGGGGGGGGTGAACTACACTGACTCTTAGCTTAGAAATAGCAAGTGAAGTGATAGAGCACGTTTACCACTTCACTTATTTGGGAAGTTGCATCAGACAATGCCAGAGTGTCGATCGCTGACGAAATCTCTGCACGGATACAGAAGGCTCGTTCGGCATATGCCAACTTATGCCATCTCTGGATTAGACGTGATATCCAGCTGGCTGTCGACCATAGGTGTACTGCTCAGCAGTCCGCTCCGGCCTCCTTTGTGGTTGGCTGTGAGGCATGGCTATTGAGAGTTAAAGACATGAAAAGGCCGGCTGGCTGTCTTTGATCATAGGTGCCTGCGTTATATCTCCTGCGTGAAGTGGTATAATAAAGTGAGCAATATTGAGGTTAGGCGTCGAGTGCTAGGTAAGGAGGGGAAATCAGTCGACGAGACTGTGAAATTACATCGACTGAGATGGTTAGGACATGTCGTATGTATGCCTAGTCATCGCCTTCCTCGACTGACGGGCAATGTTAGTTGACATAGGGTCAGGCTGGAAAAGAGCTAGCCAGTGGTGGTCAAACGAAAACATGGCTTCACCAGTCAATGAAATCTATAACAGTTAGTCTAAGCCACGTAGGAAGGTGTAGACTTCCTGACTGGTCGGGGTCTTCGGGACGGTAAAAACCAATGGTTGGAAACAATTGGTGACATGGCTCAAACACATCGTTCTCAATGGCTAGCGCAGATGCATTCACTCCTTGTGACTTATGATTTCCAATGAAACTGTATTGTTCTTCGTTATTACTATTCCTTTGTCTCACACCTCTGTTTACTGTCTCTAGTATGCATTTCTCCTACTTTCTTCTCTCACTTTGTGTGCTACAAGGAGGGAGTGTGGCGACTTGAACTGGCGCACATATGTGCAAAGTTCTATGTCGAAAACAGATAGACCTGAATCCAACCACTTATTCCGAGCAAAGTCTTCCATCCAATGTATCTTTTTAATCTTCAATCAAGGATGTTGAGATTTATAATTTTGCCTGAGAGGACGAAGGTGGTGGTGGTGGTAGTGTAACAACAGAAGACAAGAGCCACACAACAGATAATTTATTAAGGAAATCAACACATATTTATAGATTTTCATGTACATTATTATAGATTATTGTAAGCAAACAAACACAGTCTTCTGATTGGTGGTTTCTCTCTCTCTGAACGTTAATTTTTCACATCTTTGTAACTGTTTCTTGAATGTCAGATCATCTATCTGCAAATTGTATCTGCCTACGCAAAGTCTGCTGTAGTTGGTTTTTGAACCAGTTTTTGTTCATATCTTTCTCACGAGCAATATCGAGGACGTAAGCATTGACGTAAATTACTGTCTACCAATTTGGCTAGCGGCCAGCTCTCACCACAGTAGGAGCATGATTCCGCCGTATCTCTTTTATGGGTTTAAGTTGACCTTTTTTGGCAATTTAAAAAGACAAAGCGCTTCCCCCAAGTTGACAGATACCTTCCCCTTTATTTTTGATTGCACACTAGTCAGTAACTAGTGTAATGTGTCTAGTCCTATCTTCGGTGCAGACTGAATTCTATCAGTCATGTTTGCAATGTGGCCACCATACTAGGTGGCTCGCCATTACGGTGCACTGTGAATTGTTGGTATTAGATGGTTGGAGGCAATCGGTAGGAAGCCTTGGACCAAGGTTTCGTGCTAGTTGGAATTCAGTTTGCACCGAAGATAGGACTAGACACATTACACTAGTTACTGACTAGTGTCCAATCAAAAATATCCAATACAGTCCTACAGGAAGTCAGTCGCGAGCCTGAATAGCTCAGTGGTAACGTCTCTGACTGCAGTACTCACTGGGTGACGCGGGTTCGAATCTCAGAAGGGACATCAGTTCCTTCAAGGTTGCAGATACGCCTCGCCGATGAGTGCCAACTAGCACTAAACCTAGGTCCAAGGCTTCCTGTGGCCGATTGCCTCCAACCATCTAATACCTTCCCCTTTCTCCCACACCTTCTACAGAAGCGGCGTAAGTATATCCTACTAAGGAACTCCTCATGGGGTGGAGCAGCCGGCCGCACTACTTCTGAGAAATAAGCCTGGTTTCCACTGGCTCTCTTTAATTAGTGTCAGTGAGTAATTCTTTTCATTCAACAGACAACACAACACAGACATGAATAAACGAGAAACACAACAAAGGAATGCGCAATAGGTGTCCCTATCAGAGAGATACCTACTTACCACAGACTGTTGATAAGTTGGATCCAATAAATGTGAATATTTTGAATTGATGACATTATCATTAGTATTTAGGAAAGGTGAACGTGATACTAATCCGTCAATTTCACACAAAAAGTCAATAAGCCGATTGAAATCACTAAATAAAAAAATATACAAATAGAAAGAAAACAAAGAAGAAAAATGTATATTGTAAAGGAAGTGAAACAGTTAACCCCCCACCTCTAAAAATAAAAAAGAATTTATCACTAAAGGTTTTATAGCATTTCATCTTTGTTTATTATACACAAATGTAAATGCAACGATGGTTTAATGGTAGGAATGTTCAGCAGCCAGGGTTCGAACCCCGGCCTTAATCAAACCTTGAGTACTAGCCGGAAGTAAGCCCAGAAAGAGGCGTGGTCACAGGATATCCCACCCCCCTTAACCATAATATACGTTCCAGATGTCGATGTTCAAAACAATATGCAGTTCGCATTAATTCACATAGTTGGCTACACCATTCATCGACATAAGAGCCGAGTGATCCACCGCTCTAAGTTGTACTACAATAATTCTACACACCGGTTGTTTCGCAGATGCATAGAACTAAAGGTTCAAGGTTGCAACCCGGGCGCAAGTCTACCAGACCAGGGTACATGCAGTCCAACACGAAGCTAGCCAGGTGTATGCGGAGTAGCAAACCCGTGAACAGCAAGCCAAACCAGGTCGCTTAAACAGTGTAAAAGGAGGGTGAACATCATCAGGGAGAAGCGCACGAATATAACACACAGCCTTTTTGGCAACTGAATACAACCAGGTTCAGGTTGGAAAACAGCCAGTGATGGTCAAACCAAAACATCGCTGGATCAGTCAATGAAATCCACAACATTTCGTTTAAGCCAGCCACGTAGGCAGGTAGGTGTAGACTTCCTGAGTGACTGGACGGTAAACACCAATGACAGCTGAAAACAATCAGTGATATGGCTGAAAATCGTTCTCAGTGGTGGCGCAGATGCATCTACTTCTTGTGACTTATAATTTCCAATGAAAGTATATTGTTCTTCGTTATTACTATTCCTTTTGTCTCATATCCCTGTCTACTGTCTCTATTATGCATTTCTTCTACTTTCTTCTCTTGCTTTGTGTGCTACAAAGAGGGGATGTGGTGACTTGAACTGCTGCACATCGGTGCAAAGTTCTACGTTGAAACCAGTCAGTCAGCATACAATCATTAGGTCGCACACTATTCTAACTGGTAACAAAAGTCATAAAAACACCATTAGGGTATGTGACAAGCTAGATTCAAGGCTGACAACACGACACTGTAGAATTAGAACATCATTGTCAATGAAACCGCAAAGCTTGAGGTCGTATATTCCAGAGAGAACACAATGAAGAGAAAAGTACACATCTAAATGCTGTACACACACACAACTCAATCGAACGATACACACTTAAAAGTAAAAGGGAAAGACAATCAACATATTTTTTGATTGCACACACATGCCTTGCTGACGACTGCCAACTAGCACGAAACCTAGGTCAAGCAAGGCTTCCTGCCGATTACCTCCAACCACCTAATATCGTCAAATAAATATGCACCGTGATGACGAGCTACCTAGAATGATGGGCACATTGCAAACCTGACAGATAGGAGTCAGCCTGCACCAAAGAAGGCACTAGACACATCACACTAGTTACTGGCTAGTGTCCAATCAAGGTATCCACTACAGTCCTACAGGAGGTCAATCGCGAGTCCGTTTAGCTCCTCAGTGGTAACATCTCTGACTGCGGGGCAGCACTGGGTGACGCAGGTTCGAATCTCAGAAGGGACATACATGAGTTCCTTCAAGGTTGCAGATACGCCTTGCTGACTGTTGAGTGCCACCAACTAGCACGAAACCTAGGTCACACAAGACCTCCTGCCGATTACCTCCGACTATATAATATTGCACACTAAGCAGTAACCGCTGTCATATGTGTCTAGTCATTCGTTTGGTGCAGACTGAATTCCATCAGTCAAGTTTGCAATATAGTCATCAAAATGAGTGGCTTACCACCGTCCCTGATTGCGGCAAAGGATGATGCGGGTTGAGGTCTCAGATGTGAAATCAATTCCTTAAAGATTGCAAGTCCACCTTGCTGACTAGTGAGTACCAACAAGGACAAAAACTACGTTCATGGCTTTCTGCCGATTGCCTTCAGCCATCAAATAAGAATCAATATTATTATTATTCTTTCCTTTAATTCCTAGAGGAACATAGAGCTTCAGCCGTGCGTCTCCATTGCGTTCGGTTTTCTCCTAAACTTTTCACCTGGCTCCAAGTCTCCCCACATGCTTTCATCTCCTCTTCACATGACCTCCTCCAAGTCACCCTTCCACTGACGACCAACTCACCGCTTCCCTTTCGGTTTCCACTTAAGCAATGGCTTGTCTAGTGATGTCACTTGATGGATTCCTCAGAGTATGGCCAGCCAATCCACCTCCATTTCTTCTTGCTTATTTGTTTCACAATCGGTTCCTGCTGTGTTGGTTCGCTCCCAGAAATCTCTGTTGCTGATCTTTTCTGACCGACAATCTGATCTTGATTATTGAGCGAAGACAACTGTTAATGAAGGTCTGTAGTTTGTTTCAGATGCTCTTTATGACGCGCGGTGCGAGTCTCTGATCCGTATAGTAATTGGCACTGACTGACTTCACGTTGGAGTTGAAAATTCGGATGTTATTTCTGATGCTGAGTGCTGTTGACCTCCACACAGACTTGAGTGTAGTTAAAGCTTGTCTTGCTTTTCCGATTCTTGCTTTGATATCCTCGTCAGTTCCGTCCGCCTGTAGTTGAAACGATGCTTCCCAGGTAGGTAGAGGAGGTTGTTTCCTTCAGGTTCCTCCCATTTATGCTGATTGTTGTCTGTTGTTGTTGCTGTTGGCCAGGAATCTTCATCACCTCTGTTTTATCCATGTTCACCTGAAGTCCTATCTTCTCTTGACGCTTCTTCTGCCAACTTGTTGCTTTTCGCTTGCATATATTCCAGTTTGTGGGAAATCAGACATATATCATCGGCGAAGTCCAGATCCTCCAACCATTTTGTGTGGGTCCATTTTATGTCTGTTTTCTCGCTGCCCGCTCTCTGTCTGTCGCATTATCCAGTCTACTGCAATCAGTCAATTCATTGGAGATAGTAGGCAGCCAGCTAACCAGCCTTGTCTTACTCCCGTCTTCACTTCTCCGAAGAATTCCGTGAGTTCCCCGTTGCGGACTACTTGGCATGCAGCATTGTCGTACAACTGTTGGATGAGATGTATAATTGTCGGTGGCACCCCTTGGTAGTAGCGAAGTATTTGCCAAATCACCTCTCGATCGACGCTGCGCTGTCGAAGTCCTTTTCAAAGTCGATGAATCTGAGCGAGGTAGAGAGCTGACTGCCATTCCAAGCTTTGTTCAATGATGATCCGTAGTGTTGCAATCTGATCGATGCATGACTTGTTTCTCCTGAATCCAGCCTGTTCCAGTCGAACTTTTTCATCCAGGTTGGCATGTTTGATTCTCTTCAGGATGATGAGGTTTAGTATTTTGCTTGGGATGGACAGGAGCATAATTCCGCACCAGTTCTCCCATTGACTTAAGTCTCCTTTCTTTGGCAGTTTGAATAAGTATCCTTTCTTCAAATATATATCAATATATATACATGTTTATCACTATAAGCCACTGAGTGAGTGAATGAATAACACTCAATTTTACAAATAAAACTTATTCCACTTACTTTACTCCATGTTTTAAGAGTTGAACGAATTAAGGCTGTGATATTTTAGGCGGCGGGGGTATTGATATCTATTACAAAAGGTACTAGGACAGTTGACGGCTGATTGACATAACAGATAATAAAATACAGTTGAGTCAGTCAGTCAGTCAATAATTGAAGCGTCAATTGTGATGTTTAGAGGTTGGTTAGACGCGTCGACAGTCGACTCATTCGGTATTCAATTTCCTTTCTTCTAATAGCAAACTCTGATGCACTTCAGTATCATGTTAGTCAGCTTGGTTGTCACACTGCAAACCTGATCAGAACTTAGGACTTCTGCACTATAATATCATTTAGCATTCTATGACATAATCCTAAGATTATCAGCTGATGGCACACACACAGGTTTTTCGCGCGAAGCAACCTGTATCATATACCTCACGACAGACTTTGGAAGAAGCTGGATTGAAACAGTTAGCAGAAGCATGAGTTACAACATCAGTGACAAATTCGTGTCGTAGGTGGCTCTCATTGTGTTGTTTGGAAAAGCAAATAGTTCCATTCGTATTTTTACCGATTTCTAAAGAAAAATGTGTTCGAACGCAGTTTCAGAACAGCACTATAACTGGCTACCGGTTCGAGACAATTTGTTTAAAACTCTAAATGTTACGGAAGACACTTCACAAAAATTAATTTAGTTGGTACATAGTTGTACCTCGACGTTACGGATCACTGTAGACAACTGGTGGGTTGTCGAAAGGGGGGGGGAAGTAACTTACTGTTAAACTGGTGTGGTTATTACTCTCATCGAGATATGCACATACGTTAAGATCCAAAGGAGAACTGAAGCCATATCATTGACTTTCAAGTATTGGTTTTGTAGGGATTTTGTTTGATTGAATGGAGGATTTCATCATGAGCTGACATCAGTTAAAGAATCACTGGAAAACCTGTGAGTACTGGACAGCTGTTTCGTCCTAGTTCTTCATCAGTACGCACCCACCGACAGCTTTCTAACCCAGGTTGCGCTATATTGTGAACTGGCAGAAGTTAGCATTCAAAGACCATTGAAGCGGATCCCAGTGGCTAAATGGTCTACGAGCTCGCCTTGAAAAACCAGAAGGTCCTGGGTGCGTACTGATGAAGAGTCCCAAACTAGTCTGACAAAACAGCTGTCCAGTACTCCCAGTTGGTTTTCCGGTGGTTCTCTAACTGATGTCAGCTCATGACGAAATCCTCCAACGCATATCATGGATTTCTCTGTCAGTCATCATTTCACATAATGAAAGGCAGTCACTTACTCTAATCTTGTGTATAGCTCATAATATGCTACATGAAATATCTGTCCTGTGGGATTGAGTTAAAACAGACTAGTAACTGGGCTAAAGTCCAGTTGATAAAGTTGATTGATTCTTT